AGAGGATGGAGGAGGGGACTTGTGAGGACTATTAATTCCTTTAACTTTATTTTTTTTTTTAGACAAATTAGCTGAAACAAACGCTAAATGTGTGTTCCCTAACCATTCTTGCAAGATAAACAGCACCTGGTAATGTGTATGAAACATTACCCTGATGAACAAGCATGCGGTGCCTACTGAAAGTGAGGCCATTAAGCATAATATAAAAGACACACACGCTGTCAGTTTTCATTTGTCATCGCGGCATGACGACTGAGTCCTGCTAAAGTGTCATCTTGGCTCTGTGCGTGTGTGTAAGTGGGAGTGAATTTGTGTGTGTGTGTTACTGAGTGCTCCTATCCTCTCCTCTTCTGGATTCCCATCTCATTGTCTGTCATCAATCCCAGACCTCTAACCCCAGTGGTAATAACAGACCCACTGAGATACATTCAAGTGCAACAAAGGGGGGGGCGTCGAATCACACAAAGAGGTTATGAATAAGTCTGTCCCGACTATCGGCAGTACTTTGCAGAATATCACTCCACACGCTCACACTCTATGACAGCTAATTGAAGGTTCCCCTTGGGCTGAGTGCAGCACAGACATAATAATCAAGGATCCTGTCCTGTTTTTTTTTTTTTTTTTGTGATATAGCCCAAATCTGGGATTTTGCTTCTTTTTGTCATAATCAAAGGACTATAGGGAAAGTATTCAGCTGTTTCCAAAGAGGAAAGCTTGAATGCTGTTATAATGTAATACTGCTCTTTACCTGTTTGTAAATTGCATAAGCTAAAGGTATCCAACAAATCACTTCTATTATCGTTTGTCTGGTTTGATCAGCATCTGAAAGGACAGTAAGTAGGCCTAGTGAACATCTGGATAAAAATGGGGTTATTTGGTGTTGGGGTTAGGTTAAATTGCACCAACATATTTGATAAAAAATATTAGCTATAGTCAAACAACAGCTAGCTTACATTGGCATTCAGCCACTAACTATCTTATATTGCCATTAGCTAGAAAGTAGCTGAAAGCTAATACAACCATTGTGTAGTTTAACCCTATAAACACATTGCGAAATGTAAATTACTATAAATAAGTTCTTAAGAAATGAACTTACTAGCCAACTTTATGTTAGCCTGAGATAGGTTAAATATTAATGTGAGCTAGGAATAAGTTAATGCAAATGTACGACAGTGGTTTGTTAAAGTTAATGTAAGCTAGGACTTTGTTAAATGGTAGCTTGGGTCCAACCTGTAGCTCCTTTTACACATGTCAATCCCCAATCTCTCTCTCTCTCTCTCTCCGGTTTCCAAATCAATCCACTGTCACGTCAAATAAAATCATAATCATCATAATCATATGTCTTCAAAATAAGGTAATTTATGTTGGAACTTGGGTAGATGCTAATGTTGGCTAGGAATTGATTATACTAATATTAGCTTAGGAATGGTTGAATTTAAACGTAAGCTATTAGTTAAATGCTAATGTCAGCTGATAATGTGCTAGAAATGGGCTATTTATTTGGTTGTTTTACATAGAAATAATGTCCATGTTCCTCCAGATTTTCCATTTTAAATGAATGCAAAGTGGTGAAATGTCAGAAACCTTACATTTATACAATTTCAATACTGGAACCCTGCAATACAGGAGTAAAACAACTTTTTAGCTGTCCGGCCTGAGTATTAGATCAGATGAAAAATGGCCGCCATTTGAACATTGTCCATGCTATGCATCACAGAAAGTATGGAAGAAGGCTGCTACAGCACTATGAACAGACCGATACTCATCCCTCACAGTGACTACTTATAAATGTATCCACAGACATCTCTTGGAAGAAGACTGCCCAAACCAGGGGGAGTTTCTGTTTTAATACCTTTGGGTTAATTCCACTCAGCTCTCATTGGATCAAATTAAACTAAGCTATGGCAGAAAGGTAATACGATTATTGTGTTGCAGGCAGGATTACTGACTGACACGCTATATACACAGGAACAGCAGTGGTCAGAGAGGTTGCATTGTTTATGCAAGAATTCACTGTGGGAAGTATAGCCCGTGTTCACATTAACATCTCTTCTACAAAGGAAAGAGGATTAGTTTGCATTATATACATGCAATCCTGGGGATTATTTTGGACCTTTAATGTATGTCCTTTTCATCACATTACTTGTTAATGGAGCTCTTTAAGGTATAGCTGGAGTCTATGATGTGAACAACCATTTTTTTGCAATGCCGTCACAGCTTTTCTGTGTCAAGCAGCACAGACATTGGCTCAGCAAATCTCCCAAAGCTGCTGCCAGACAGTTTGCTGTGGGGAAATCCCTCTCCCATGGAATGTTTTCTTTACAGTTAGAAAGCCAAAGCCATTCGTTATAGCCTTGTATTAACTAGGTCTAACATTAATTACCCTTATATTTATTTACCTCTGACAGCGGCAATGACAAATTAGAACAAACAGCTTAAAATACTTTTTTTTTCATGTTGTAGCTAGAGCATGGAGCTCAATATCAAAAACGAGCCATGACAGGCAGCCCTCTGGAGTGAGGGGTGTAAACAAGATACAGTTGTTAGTTGACATGCTAAAGGAATGCGCTTGGATTACAGCGCATGTCTCTTTGATTTATTAGCCGAAGGTTGTAGGGGAGCGTTATCTTAAATCATGCCTGCCGAACAGCTATTCATTTTCATTTTATTTCTGTCTGGATTCTAAACTCCCCACCCATGGAGAGTAGTATCTTATCGTTATCATCTTTCATAGTTTGGAAATGAGAAACTTATAAAGGGCCTCACAGTTTCTTGGGAATCTTCTGGAAGTTTGCCAAGCAACCCCAGACCAGATGTTCAAAAAAGAAACGCAGATAATCATTTACAAAGAATGTCCAAACACATTAATTTCCTTGGGATAGGGAATGTGAACCTAACCAGAAATTTGCAATTTCTTTTGAGGCTATTGCTTTCACCTCAGAGTCATTTTAGTTTGTCATGAAGAAACAAGGGTTATAGCAATAAAAGGGTATTGGTGCAGAATAGACACAGCCATTTCTCTCAGCCAGCTAAATGCTGGTGCTGAAAGGACACTAAGCACAGGTTGTCTTTCAACCACTGTGACAGGCCGTGTAGCGAGAATTTTACTGTGTTGAGTAAAAGATTCAGGTAGGGGAGGAGGTTGAGGTGAAGCCAGCCAGCCAGCCAGCGAGCAGGCTACCAAGCGAGCCACATCTACCTTCAGTTCAATGTCAAAACAGCCAGTCAACTGTGTACACCTTCACATCAACTGCTTGTGTGTGTGCGTGTGTGTGTGCGTGTGTGCGTGTGTGCGTGTGTGTGTGTGTGTGTGTGTGTGCGTGTGTGTGTGTGCGTGTGCGTGTGCGTGTGTGTGTGTGCGTGTGTGTGTGTGTGTGTGTGTGTGTGTGTGTGTGTGTGTGTGTGTGTGTGTGTGTGTGTGTGTGTGTGTGTGTGTGTGTGTGTGTGTCACACCTCTCTGCTGGTCAATAGAGCCTAATTCGCCACAGGTATAGCAGCCAACCTTAAAGGTGATTTCCCTTCAGCTCAACCCGCAGAAGCCTATCATCCATAGCTGGAGGCCTATGGTGCTAGTACTAGTGTGTGTGTGTGTGTGTGTTTGTTGGGGAGTCAGTGGGGGGGTTGCTGCTATCTGCCGGACCCATTATCCAATGGAGGCAATAGAAGTGAAGGTGTCACCGCCTGGGGTCTGGCTGCTTCTCAAATCCTTGGGAAGACAGACGTTGTCTTCTCTTTCTCCAACTTGGCCCCATTGTTTGCAAATTTTCTTGCGTGCCTCTATTTCCCACCATCCCCCTCTCCGTCTATTCCACTGTCCTGACTCCCTCTACTCTTTGGATCTCCTTTTTCTGCCAACTCCATGTTTTCTCTGCTTGTTGTTGTAAAGAGAACTACTGTGCTCAGCTCGTACAGTGTAACAGCACCTCTTCACATTCTCTGCATGCTCTGCAGGCAGCCTAATGGAGGAAATCAAAGTACTCAAATGCGATTAGATCCAGCATGCACATTGCATCCCAATCAGATCTTCTCTGATTGATATAGCTTATCCTTTTAAATTCAAACAAATATTTTTTTAAAGGGGTGGTGGTGGTCATGCTTCTGTTTGTACTTAGAAAAGATTTATGTCAAATAGTTAGTGTTGCTCAACATTTCATCTATCAACTCCTCTATGTTCCACACTCTTATGAAATGTAATTAGATGTCTCTGGTGTGTCACATGAAAAATGTGTTCGTAGTTTTTCCTTAGTGGCTCATGTTAAATGTAAGGAGTGCACTACGTTCTCCTTTTCCTGCGACTGAAACATATTGTTTTTGCCTGAGGCATTGCATGAGTTACTGCACACCTGCTTTATCAGGGTATGAGTTGGAGCAAGAAACAACTGTAAAATGAATGTTCAGGCACCGTGGCTACACGTAAAGGTTCACTGTTGCTCTAGTGAAACTTAATCAGCCATGCCACAAAAATCTCCCAGGCAAGAATGATTGCCAGGCAGGAGGATGTTACTGTAATTATTGTCTTGTTCGCTGCAGACAGAGAGCCTCAGATAAGCCGTAGTCAACGGCAAGGCAAATACGCTTGTTGCACGAAGCACTTAGCAGCAATTTACACAACAGGATACTTGGATGTATAAGCATTACAGCGGTTAACATGTTGAGAAAAAAAATAGTTATGTCGCTTACAGGGGGCATCGTTAAAGTTTAGTGTCACGAGGACATCAGTCTGCCAGAAGGTAAAGGTTTAAATGCCTTACAGAATATTATTTGTCTTCCTTTTGCACCCTATGGTGGCATATAAATGAGCAGACCTCTCACTGCAGCAAAAGGCCAAACTTCCATTCCTTTTTTTTATCTTTACATGTTTAATGTTTTTACAAAGTCTGATAAATACTGTATGTGCCCTAGTCAGAATCAAACATAAATCGGGGAAGCTATCATTTTATTCTATTAAATCCCAGTCCTCCACCTCCCCATAATGCTCTGTACCCTTCATCTCTTCTCAGCACCGCCTCTGTCAGGAGTCACCACATCTCCTCAGCCTCCGAGAACTACAACCACCACCACGACAACCACAGCACACTGGGGCGTGGCCAACACCACCACCACAACAGGGCTCAAGGAGGGTAGCAGGGGAGCGCCCAAACCACCTCCTGTGATTCCTCAGACTACTTCCCCTCCGCCCCTGGAGTCCTTCCCTCTACCTGAACGCTTCTGCGAGGCCAGCGAGAACAGAGACATAATGTGGCCCCAGACCCAGAGGGGCATGCTGGTGGAGCGACCTTGCCCCAAAGGAACTCGAGGTAAACAGAGCTCCCTCTCACCTCAGGGCAGTGTGCTTGCTGTTTTCAATATGACCTGAGACGTCCCATGAGAATGTCCCTGAGTTTGTAACATTTGGCTGATACTCTTGAATACTTTGATCTCTTTCTCTGTTAAAAAAAAAAAAAAAAAAATGTGCATCTAAGTCAGTGTTCAGGGATATGATGCAAGTTGTAAGCTGTGCGATTCTATATCAAAACATGACAGAGATTATGTGGTAGAGCAGATGTTTCTCCTGCATCATGCATGAAGACTCGCATCCCTCATTTGATTGTGTGTGAAATCATGTCAGAGTTCCTCAGACACACACATCTCATTAGAACAAAACAAACTGAATGCCACGTTGTTAAGAAACACAGGGGCAAGCATACTTATCTGGCAGGAAAAAAAATGACATTGATGATTAAAGTTTTCTGTGTCCAACAGTTTCCTCTTATTTAGGTCTCATGTAGTTTAAAACAGTCCTGCCAAACAAGAATCATGAAAGACAGACTATCCTTTAGGGTGGAGTTTCTGAGCTCACACAAGCACTCTATCCCTGGCTTCACATTTGTATAACGCGTATGAATTTGCATGTTTGTAAATGTCTTGGTTGTTTTTGCTTTCTTTTTCTTATCTGTGTCCTTGAACTCAGTTTTCCAGATAGGGACTTCATGAGTATGAGGTGGGGGGGGGGGGATTTGACTTAATTGAACTTGACTATTCTGTTCTTGTTTTCCCTGTTAGGCACTGCCTCTTATTTATGTGTCCTTTCCACTGGGATCTGGCACCCAAAGGGCCCTGATCTCAGCAACTGCACCTCCCACTGGGTCAACCAAGTAGCCCAAAAGGTTTGTATGAGCTGTGCATCACTGTGTTTTTCTGAAGTGTGAAAAACATGGGGCAAGACAAAGTAATGGGGCTGGACATATTAGCATTTTTCTCATTTTATCAGTATAAGATCCCCCCATCTAAGATCAACAAACTAGTAAACAAACTGCACACAGTCTCATATGCACTCTGCTCAAAAAGTCTATGTGTGCTCTGCAGGTGATCATAGAGACACAGATCTGTTGTTACGTCTCTCCTTAAATGTATTAATTTCAGTGCAACACTTCATGCTAAATATGAACCTTCTCATGCTGTTTGAATCAATTTGTGCAGCTCATTTCTGCCTATGTTATAACGCACATTTTTAGTGTGGCTATGTCATAACACCAAATCTTCACTATATGAGGATAACCTGATGTGATAACAGAATCATAAGTGACGTATGGGTGACTGTAGAAAGGACCTCGGTTATTTAACAGTGTAATAAGTATGTTTTCTCAAAGGGATCTCAGTCAGCAGAACAGAAGCTCGCCCTCTCCAGATTAGTTACTATGGTTACAAGACGCTCTTTGTCTGCCATTAAAACTTTGCCCTGACCCGTCTATTTAAAAGAATAAGGTCACTTCTTCCCTGCATGACCATGTGTCATAGAAATGTGTCATATTCAGAACATATTTTTACAAAGGCATATACAAACCAAAAAGTAAATCCAGTCATGTCATACAAAACTACATATTAACTACACATTGGCTTCTTGAATTAAACTACAGCTAGAAATTCTCCCGGGCTAAAATATTGAAGAAACACAACAATTTTGGAGTCCACATGTTTGTTTATTGTACTCAGATAAATGTATTCATCAAAATTGCCTGATGAATACTCAAAGATAATTCGAAAAAGACAGGGTAAAAATCAGTACTTAAGTTGATCAGAATGCGGGACAAGTAATGTTTGGTGTTTAAAGAATTCTGGGACAGACAAAACGGCAAATATTGAACTGCTTTTTCATCCTTTACTAATCACATTCCTGTATATTAGTGGTGCATACTTTCATGTAACCAAGATCTGTTCCATTTGTTGTATTTAACCCTAAGGTTAAAGGATACACTTCTGTTAACAGTACTTTCTTTTTGCCTTGCGTAATGTGCGTCATAGGTGAAACAGGATAAAGAAAGCAGTACTCTGCGTCCCAGTCTTTTTTCACTCACTGCGGGGTAAAGAAACCATGGCAACTTGTCTTACATAAAGAAAAGATAAAACCCCCTTTTCAAATCTGGCATTTCAAGGACTCTTTCAAGCGTGATTTGATGTTAGAAACAGTGCTGTAAAGAACCCTCCAAGTCTGTCTTTCTACATTCTTGTGATCATTATTCACTCTCTCTCTCTCCCTGCAGATCCGCAGCGGCGAAAATGCAGCTAACTTGGCCAACGAGTTAGCCAAGCACACCAAAGGTCCCATCTTTGCCGGGGACGTCAGCTCCTCTGTGCGCCTGATGGAGCAGCTAGTGGACATCCTGGATGCTCAGCTGCAGGAGCTCAGACCCAGCGAGAAGGATTCTGCAGGGCGGAGCTTCAACAAGGTGACCACATCCACCAAGAGAGAAAAAAAAAACTTAAAAACAAAAGTGCAACAATTGAACTACAAAATGTGCTATTCTTTCTCTGACTGCAACATTTTCAATGAAAAGTTTAATACTTTTCAAAGACAAAAGCAAAAGGGAAGACAGCGCACCTTAAAAATAATACCTCTATTATGTGCAGTAGTTGTTATTGTCACTTTCTCTTTCTTTTCATGTTCAGGGAAGCTGTAAGACTGAAAAAAATACAAAAGCAGTGATTTCTCACTCAAGCACGTAGCAGAGATCTATATTTGTACACTTGTGGTGTTGGCCATAATTTGGAAGTGTAATACTCCTACAAGATGTTTGGAGGCTTTGAGAGGAATATGTAGCATATTATTGCTCTGTTCTTCAGCACTTTAACTCTTTAACCTCCAGGTTGAACCTGTGATTCAGCAGTTAGTTTGCATATCAACCACTCCGTCAGGATCTTGTTTCTGCAGAAGCTTTTCTAAAGCTCATGAACTTGTGCATATCATGTCTATCTGTTCTTTTTGTTTCTCATTAAAAAAGCTTCAAAAGCGAGAAAGGACATGCAGGGCATACATGAAGGTACTGAAGCAATGCTTCTGCCCACTCTGCTTGCAGCCACCCCCAATTCCTGTGCTACTGTATAAACGCCCCAGCCCAAGTTCAGCAGCATGCACCCTCTGCACTGTCATTTACTCCCTCCTCCCTGCTTTTTTTTTTTTTTTTTTGAGTAAAATTGCATAACACACAGATACAGTTTTACCCGAAGTATTTTCTAAAGTTGTCTTCAATTAATGACGTGGCTTCTATACATGGGTGTGTACATGTCTGTGTGTTTCATCCCGTTTCTATGCATTGGCAGCAATGGTTTATTTTAATTTATTTTCCCCCTATTGTTTGTTTTCTAAGTGTTTGCTCAAGATTGCACGCCTGGCTGTGTAACAGCACAACTCAAACAAACATCCTGTTCTTACATTCCTCTCATTATTCATTTACTGAAGGATTAGATGCTTTGTTGCATTTTTTTTTTAATCACTTCTATTGGACATGCTTTCAGTATAAAATGATTCTGAATATTGCATCAAACAGTTCACTTGTTAATAAATGAAACCTTTTTTTCCAACTGACCTTTTACTACATGTTTAGTAAAATAATTCTGGCTCATGTTTCACAAGGACAAAGGTTTTAGGTCATGGAAGTCATTTGTTTCGTAAATGAAAGGTGCAAATCTTCGACTCTATCTGGTTAATTGGGTTGGCCAGGTCAAACCATTTCCCCTCTTTTCCTAAATGCTATCAGGGTTGGGTTCAGTATTTCGGCCGTACATATTCCTCAACCATTAGGGAGATCATTGTCCTCTACCTGCCAGTAAAGTCACCCCCACAATCCAGATCTCTCCTTTGGGACGGCATTTAAATGAACCAAGCTAATTAGGCAGTTAACGTCCATGAGCTTGTAAAAAGACTCAGAGAAAAAGGAAGGGAATTACATGTATGTGGTCACATTTACTCCCCAAAAATGAGGCACAACAGTAGTTCTTTGTGCCACAACATACTGTATATGTTTTAGAAGTTAGGACAGTGTTGGAGAGGAACTGTCAGTGTAAAACTCTGTGTTTATTTGGCGAATGACAGTGTTAGAGGATATCATTGAGTCAGCAGTATCTGACATCTGCCATACTTGACGCAACATCACTATAGCTGCGCCCCCCCCCCCCTCCCTCTACCAGACGTTCCCGCAGACATTGATTACCTGATTAGACACATTGATTTGATTATTTCCTGAAGAAAGGACTGTGTCACCTGGCTTCTACGCTCAATTTATCCGCAGTCTTCCCCGAGCCGTTCAGACAACAGAGAGTGTAACATTGGAAAAATGTTTACAGTTCCATCAACCATCATTTAGTCTTACACATATTTGTGTCGTTTTAGCATTTTTTGTTTGAGCATGATTATTTTACAGTTAATTACTTGCACTTTAGTATAAGAAAACTAATATTTCTAAATGTTGTGCTTAACTCTATTTAGAGGACAACATTTCTATGACTTTGATCTGGCCATCTCTTAATATTTCAAAAGGCTCAGTGGACTCTGACCCTAAGAGTCCGCCCCGCTGCAGCATCCTCTAAACAGAAACTGAATATTCAGCATCCCCAATAGCTCTTCTCTTCCTCTGCATTTTCATGATCAATACAAATGAAAATAACATATAAATTTGTAAATACCTCTACTGAATGAATCCGTACTTAAATAATAATTCAAAATTAAATGTTCTTTTAGCTTCTTTTTTTCCATCATGGTCATTTTAAGCTTCACAGATTTGATGCTTCAGCTCATTGTTTCATCGGTGTCATTTAAGTGTTTGCATGCCACTGCTGATGATTGCCAACATTTGTTTTTTATTTTTTCTGAGTAACTAAAGTATCTTTGTTTCTGTTTATTTGTGTGTGCTTCTTTAAGGCCATTGTGGACACAGTAGATAACCTTCTGCGCCCAGAGGCCTTGAAGTCCTGGCAGGACATGAACAGCACGGAGCAGACACACGCAGCCACCATGTTACTGGATACTCTGGAGGAAGGGGCTTTTGTCCTTGCCGACAACCTAATGGAACCTGCCATCGTCAAAGTTCCTGCAGACAATATAAGTAAGTAAAACTAGAGCTTGTGGTAAGCCAATGCCAAGTGTTCTCTATTGGTGCTGGCTCCGTTAATTTGATTGCTTTCAATTCATTGAGAGAACAACACTTGTAATAGTAAAACAAGGCCAGCGCATAAAAAAGTGCTTTGTTTTCATAATAAGTGTTTAAACCTCGAGGGAACAGAAAAACGACGCATATTAGGTTTAACGAGTCGCTTACTGACAAAGTGATGAATATCAGACAATTAAATAGACTGGATTCTCTGATTGCGCACACTTAGTTTATAAATGTATGTGTCTAGACCTTGTAACTCTATACATTAATGTGAACATTAGCCTGCTGTGCAGTCAGAAAAAAGACATTGTTTATTCTCAGCCTCCTCCTCCTAATAAGGAAGGCTTTTCCTGTGTGTTTGAACTGTTTTATTCATATTAGTAGTAGGGGAGGGGATGGGATGATGACTCTGTGATTGACACTGTATTGTGCAGCTCACTCAAGTGTTTGAGTCATTGCTACATTCTTTGGTCCGTGTCAGCATCTCTTTTTTTTTTTGTCAAAATGTCAGGGACAAAGCTACAGCATCAATATTCTCTTTGATTTTTTTTTTTTTACTCCATTGCTCTGAAGTCCATCAGTCTGGATTGACTCTTATCTTATCCACTTGTCCTTCCATCCCTTTTCCCCTCACCTCTCTTCATCTTACAGTCCTCGATGTGTACGTTCTCAGCACAGACGGTCAGGTCCAGGATTTTAAATTTCCACAATCCAGCAAGGATGGTATCTCAATCCAGCTGTCAGCAAACACCGTCAAGCTCAACAGTCGGAATGGTAAGCTCTATTGAACAGCTTGAAACAACAAAGACAGAGCATCAAAGTGCTTATTCTATGCATGAACAATTACGAAATAGAGCCATGAGTGTTTGACTTTTGCTCCATTTTTTTGGAACTGAAAAAAGAGAAGAGCCAGAGTAATTGTTACGTAATGATAGAATTGATCTATATGACACAAGCATTGAGATGTTGGCTTAAAATGAGAGTCCACTTTATATCTTTTCAGTATCTAGTTCTCATTTATCTATTTGCCATCAAGCAGATAGTCTTTAATAATGACTATTGAAATGAATTGTAGTGTAAAATTATTTTGACTTTAATTAAAAACTTTTGTGCTTATTTTTTCGCCATTTTCTCTCTTGATACACTGTCTAAATTCTTCTGGAAGCATGGAAGCGTGCTTTTTATTTTTTCTTCATCCTCTAATGACTATCCTCATCTTTTACTCGTCAGGGGTTGCCAAGCTGGTTTTTGTGCTCTACAAAAACCTGGGCCAGTTCCTCGGCACGGAAAATGCCACCATCAAGATGGCCAACGAGGCTTACGGGCGCAACGTGTCGGTGGCCGTCAACTCTGACATCATCGCTGCCTCGATCAACAAAGAGTCCAGCCGTGTATTCATTAACGACCCAGTGATTTTCACCCTGAAGCACATTGATGTGAGTGTCCCCTGCTGGAGTGAGCGGAGAGGTCATATTAAAGAACACCAGGAGGGAACTTCAGGATTAGACAGAGATCGGCTCTTTAAATTGTAAATGTCTGGCTAGGTCAGACGGCAGTTTATTTAAGTCATTGAACATCAAATTAAAGGAGTCTTCAGAACCTAAGTGAATTCTTAATGAAAACTAATTCTTTAATCAACATTGGGATATAAATGATACCCATTTTCTTTTATAGTGGTGGAAATTAACTCCTAGATTAGCCGTACAATCTAGGATGAAATTACTGGAGCGCCAATTATCTTCCGTCTTTTAAAGTTGTCACTGGAGTTCCCAGAGGACCGTGCGTGACTCCATTCTTTATCAGAGAAATTGTGCAATTCCTAAGACATGATGCCGTCAAACAATTATGCCTCTCTATGTTATTAAGGTCTCGTACACCCAGACTATGCTTCGGTTGATTTGGCAAGCATGTGCCAAATGAGATACAACATATGAATTGCTTCATAAGTGCTGTGGAGTGAAAAATCCTCATCCATATCAGTGCGGAGAAATACTTTGTATGAGTAGGGGGTAAATGGCCTATGTGTTCTACATGTGCTTCAATTTCAGGCAGTCAATTATTTGGACACTTAACCATATCTCTTGTTATCTGCAGATGGAGCGCTACTTCAACCCCAATTGCTCCTTCTGGAATTACTCTGAGAGGAGTATGATGGGCTACTGGTCCACCCAAGGCTGCAAACTCCTGGACACCAACAAAACACACACCACCTGCTCCTGCAGCCACCTCACCAACTTTGCCATCCTCATGGCGCACAAAGAAATCTCAGTATGTCATTTATGTCCTACTCCTAGGGCCTTCTTCTTTAATATTCAGCTGTAGTATTTAAAACTACTGTTCTGTTGTTCTGTTTCAGAATCAATCTGCACACACTCTTGTTTCTTAGGTACCAATTTCAGCAGATTACAATAATCACAGCAAGGTTCAAATGGAATATGTTGTCATTACTCTACTGCTTTATTTATTAGCTCTTTGATGTAGTTAATTTCTGTTTGACAAACATCATATGCTCAAATAACTAAAGCCATTTTTTTAATACTTTTTGTAAAATCTTAATATTTAAAATACGGTAATTTTCTTGAGTTGATTTACCGGTGTTCTGACAATTTGGTGTGCTTTCCTCAAATAAGGCCACGTGTATTTGAGCTCCTCAATCAGAATGAATGGTTTCAGTATACTTGTATTTTTTGTTTGTTTTAGAAGCCTCAAGAGGAGAATGTATCCAGTTCTTCTAAAGAGACAATTTAAAGTCAGAAATACAATTATGTGTAAGGGAGAGATGTTTTATTTCCCTTAAATCCCTTTGTGGTCCCTTAAGAGAGGTCTTTCAAATTGTAACACTAAAGTAACTGTAATACGATAAAGGGAGTTCATAGAATACAGTTTAGTCAAAGTCACATGGGTTTGAAATGCTCATCACAGAGCTGATTTAGACGTCACCTCTTTCTTTTCACAAATATGTGATTTTTTTGTAACCTGTCATACTGTTTACTCTTTACTCCAGGTTAAGGACCGAGTGCACATTCTGCTTCTGACTGTCATCACTCGAGTAGGGATCGTCGTGTCCCTCGTCTGCCTTACCATCAGCATCTTCACCTTCTGCTTCTTTCGGGGCCTGCAGAGCGATCGCAACACCATCCACAAGAACTTGTGCATCAATCTCTTCATCGCAGAGTTAATATTCCTAATCGGTATCGATATGACAAAACCCTGGGTAAGCTGGAACAATTTTGCCCTATTGATTTGGTTTTGATTTATTCCCTCTTGCTTTATCTTGTCTCACCCCGAAAACAAAAGTAAAGACCCCTTCAGAGTAAAATAGATGAGACTCTAAGCTTTGTTTGTTTCCAACCTTCCTTGTGTGTCCCTGACATGACATGAGTGGGACAGCACCATTAATATAGATTACTAAGGGGCCGTGTCTTCCGCTTGACAGCTCTTTTTTCCTCTTTCACTTAAAGCCACTGTTGCCATGGCGAAGTCAGCATCAGTACCTCTTTTTTCACCTACATTTTCCCTCCAATCTCCTGAAGCACAAAAACAATTTTCTGCATACAGCTGGGAATCAAAGCTGAGCTGTATGATTAAATCTGCACTAACCTTACAATATGATTGCCATTTAAATTTCTACTGTGCTGATGGAAACTTAAACCTGTGCATAGTCAGAGCCCATGTGGTGAATGAATATTCATTACCTTTTTACAGCAGCTTCACCTAAGTGTGATCTACCGAATGGTTAATGCTGCAGCAGGGAAAATCGCCTTTTCACTTCGTTTTAATCAAAGATGGGATATGTGATTTATAATTTTCAATTTAGAAAGTGCAGTGGAGATACCTCCTGTCATGTTTAAATCAAAGGTGGCCCCTAGATTTATATAAAGGGAAAAAAAGGCCTTTTTGGCAGGAACGGTAATGTTCTTGTTTTTCCTTCAAATCTCTCAAATTAATTTATTTTTCTGTTTCAGATTGGATGTGCCATCATCGCAGGGATCCTTCATTTCTTCTTCCTGGCTTCCTTCTCCTGGATGTGTCTAGAAGGGGTCCAGCTGTACCTCATGCTCGTGGAAGTGTTTGAGAGCGAATACTCACGGAAAAAGTACTACTACGTGTCAGGTTACCTATTCCCTGCCATCGTGGTCGCCGTCTCTGCAGCCATCGACTACAGCAGCTACGGGACAGAGAAAGCGTAAGTGCTCCCTTCTGTACAAATCCTTAGAAATGCAGAGCCAACACACTGGATGCTACACTACTGTGTTTGCTTACCTGCTGTGTCTGTATGTGGTAGCTTTTGAAAATAAATCTACTTATCATTTCTGCCAGCGCCTTTTGTGTCTCTCCGGAGACCACCTCCAAAACATTTGAGCTCCTCTTGGCCGGGTTGGACAGCTGCTCAATTTTTTATGTCATTTGAAAGTGGCTGACAGACTCAACACTGTGGTTTCAGGGGGGCCGCGGCTACATTAATGCCTTTCTGCTTAAAGACCCTCCTGTGACCTCTTGTTTGTAAATGCTCTCTTAAAGAGGAGAGCACTGTGAAGAAAAAGCCTTTTACATAGATTAATGGCCAAATCTCAGCTAAGAACAAGCTGTCAAGAGGGGCTACATGGGGTCTTCTCTCTGTGTTCTACACTTGTGTTAATGCTCAACCTGCAACGTAACATTTAGAGCACCTCGAGTGAAATATTGACAAGAAAGTACACTGTGAAAATGTACATGATAATTATATAATCAAGCATGGCACATAGCACTCTGATATTGTTTTAATAATAATGCTTTTCTCAGCTGAAGTGTGTGTGTGTTTTTGTCACAGGTGCTGGCTGAGTGTGGACAATCACTTCATATGGAGTTTTATAGGACCTGTCACCTTTATCATCATGGTAAGCCGTTTTATTTTTCTTTGAATACTGCGAGCGACGAAGTGAGGCAGAGACTCAGAGACAGAGATGAAAGAGATGAAGGAGGGAGATAAAAGAAGCGTGAGGGTTGAACTGAAGGAAGAGTCAGACAGATTTTTTTTGGCTCCTCAGTGATGACAGGTTAATTTTACACCAAAGACGGATTTCGAGGTATTCGACACTTCTCCCTGCCGCTCACCTACTGACAAGGATCAGGATGTGATAGTGTACCTTAACCTCACGTTTGCACATCTCCCATAAAAGTATTACTTTGCGGACGTTGCTGCATGCCCTTCAGGTTTTTATCATAAATGACCTAAAAAGAAGTTTCAAAATTGCCTGAAGATGTGCTTACCCAACACTGTAAGATGGCACTGAAACCTCACATAAATCCTTTTTTCCACCTCTGTATCCAACTCCTTCTGTGTTTGTCTGCCTTTAGTAAACAGCAGTTGACACTGGTGAGGAGCAGAAGAAAAGCAAAGGCACCTCTCTGTTTGGTCAAGGACTGTCAGGGTGAAGGACATACAGGATATCATAATGACATATGTCCCATTGAGGCATGCAATTATTTACTGGTCATGACATTATTATCTCCTGCACCATCAGAAAGACTCAGAGGAATGAGACCTTAGGGAGTCTTGCCTCCCTGTGCATAAAAAAAAAGAAAGCAAAAAGAAAGACATAGCAGGTGGTATTCCTCACATATAGCCTCTCAGCCCAGCACACCATGTATTGCATTGCCCTCGTGCACACCAAGGGATGAGGGAGCTCTGCAAACCTGTCTTGCTGCTGCTCTGCACGAGAGGACGGTCGGTGTTTGTTCAGCCCTGTGTTCATTATCAGGCATAATGGTTGGCACTGTATCTACAGATGCAGTGACCTCTGTTGAACATCAAACTGACACTGAAAATATACAGTAAAGACAGGGGGCACCCATGTCAGATTCCTGTGAGCCATTTGCAGAGCAGTAGGAGCTTTCAAAGTAAAGATATAGCTGGGCTCTTTGTCTGTGTGCTAGCAGAATAAATAAAAGACAAATCTGCTTGCTGGACTGCATTTCAGAGTTTTCACAAAGACGAACATGGCCACTCGATGTCGCGTTTAAAAATGGAGGAGAAAGCACACAGACAACCTGTGTCGGATTGAAGCGCACTTAAGTAAACGTTGCAACGCCTGTTTCTTTTTTTGTTTTCACTCTTTTTCTTTTGCTCAACACTCGCCTTGAACGTGTGAGCTTATAATTGAGGGAAAAGCTAACATTGTATTAAAACAAACACATTTTTCCCTGTCTCAGCAAATGCTCTGTCAGCCACACAGGAATATGTTTCTTCTACCTAAATTGGACCCTCATTGTTTGCCAATCGCGCCGTTGCTTCTCTTATGATTTGCATGAAAAATGCGTCTGTGGTGGAAATGATGATCAGGATCCCGGCGGTGATGACCGCAGAGACAGAATCATGACCCTGTGAGGAGCTAATGTATTGTAGTCGAGCTAATGTGTGACAGGAATGAGGTTCTGCAGCACTGGTTCAGGCAGCACACACTGCTTCTCTGACTCTGTGCAACAATTGACTCAAAAAGACAAAGTACTGTGGAAAGGGGCATCTCAGGGGACTGTGCAGGAGCAAGGTTTGTCTGCACCATCCGTGACCCTGGTTTCTCTACAAATTGGCTGTGTCCTTGTCAATGAGGGAGAGAGTAGGAGAAAAGGCACACGTGCAGAAGGAAAGGGAAGAAAACATTGTTGCCTTGGCTCATGTCTGGAACCCCACCCGCCACCCAAACTATGTTTGTGCCAACTAACATTGGTTTTAACCGAGGGTGGTCATGCTATTTTCTTATCCTTTTGTTTCTTCTTTTTTCCTTTCTTGCTTTCCCTGTTTTTTTTTTCTTCCTCTCCTGGCTGAATCAGGCCCTAAACACGGACAAAAACAAAAGCTGGTGGGAAGCATTTAGATCTATGTTCTCTGGCTGAGGTTGCCCTGTCTCTGGGCACAGGGGGTATTAGCTCCATGAAAGGGGGAACATGGAAGTAATGAGTGGTGGGGGGGGAACCATTAGTATGCTTGAGATAGCTTCAAAACAAGGCCTTTTGGATCATGACATGTCGCAAGCAGTTCTTATCATCTGGACAGCTCCATCTGCACCTTTAATATTTTATCCCCTGCAGTTCATTTGGAGTTCAGTGTGTACACACTCAGTCCACTTCAGAAAAAGCTTTCTCCTCGGTCCCAGCGTGCCGAGGGTGCTTCTGCATGGCTTGCACCGATGATTCAGAGACAGAGTGAAGGATAGAGGCAAGACAGCTCTGCTCCGGCAAAGGGGGATCCCCCCAGGAAGGGCTGCGGAAGCATGTAGGTGGGGGTGGGAACATGTGCCGTGCTGCTAGGTTGCTTTAAACTTCTGCGTCCCTCTCCTCTGTCTCATTGGATCCATGTCACCACTCCAGGCTGTGTGAAAGGCTTTTTGAAATGTCCTCGCCTTCCTTGCCCCCCAATCCCCTCCCCCACTGTCTGACTCATGCAGGCGACTGATAGAAATAACGGCTGATAGCTGCAAAACACAACATAGTTTCAGTGTCGTCTGTGATATAAAAGAAGATTTTTTATTTTTTTTTTCCCACTCTCTTTTTACTGCCCGGGTTATTGTGCACGGCTCCATGAGTTGATTGCATGTGGAGGGGCGATGTATTGATCACAGGCTGCCTTTTGATAGCAGCGTGCACCAGAACATGGAGAATTTCTGTTCAAGAGTGAAAATCCTTGGTCTGACTCCGTCTCTCAAAGGTCATTCATTTATTTCATGCTCTCATGCTGGCTATGTGTTGCCATTCTCCGCTCGACAATATCTTTTCATTCTAAAGACGACATAACACTAAAACTCACTAAACACTTACCTAGAAAAGTTTTTGTTTCTGCAAAAGGGATTATTTGTATGTTGTATTTTTGTAAATACGTTTGTCTGCTGCATTTCATTACTGACGTCCTTTGACTTGCACTACTGGAGGCACCAATTTTAATGTTTCTATCTAAGATATATTCAAACATGCCTGGCACACAGTCTGTTTCCTCTGCTGTGAGTGTATGTACATGCTGTGTCAGGGACTAGTTTGCCCCAGAATAAATGTTTTTTGAAGTAATTTATTTGAAGCGGGCTCCCTGCTTGCCCATCCAGCCTTTTGTGTCTCTAAATCATGCTATTGATTTTGAAGGTACTGAATAAAC